ACCTGCTTCTCCAAACCTAGGTTGTTTAAAGACCTATGTACAACAGGTAGGATGTTAATTGTTCACAATTTTCCCATAGAATCCCACCTCCAAATAACTTATTGATCCTCTCTTAAATTCTACTTGTGACATGTCTGAGTTAACATTTCAGTATTTTGTGATTCATGTCAAACAATCTTCTGGAAGGCTGATTTTTAATTGATATGTATTATTTTCTCATCTCATTTTCACAAATATTCTTAGGTGGGACTGAGGGTGAGTGTTTGTATTGATCATATTACAGAAATATTTAAAATAATGTAAAATGTGAACAAATATATATCAGTTTGAGAAATATTAATTGTGATAATGATTAAATTGAATTCTGTACTATTTCTGAAAACTGTCAGGAAAAAAGGAGCGTCTTTGAGTGAATTACAAAGACAACTGATGTTTTGCTTTATAAAATTCAATCCCAGCTGACATTTGTCTCACCAAATGAAACTTTATGATGAGGTGACAAAATCACATCAAATTGCTTTGTAACAGATTATTTGCAGACAATTTTATATAAATTTTTCCAAACTGCTGTTTCTCTCCAGTTATTTTTCACAGAACCAGTGAAAATCAAAAGCATTTCATAAATTGACCTCTAGGTGGCAGCATTGCACCAGCAAACACTTTCTCTATTTCGTTGCACGTTTCGTCTTCTTTGAATTGGAAATAAAAAGTGATTCATCTTCAATAGATTTTAACTCCCAATGTTTTTCCAATTACTGTTTTTATATTTTTACTGAACACGTTCTGAGAATGAGGTGCAGGTCTACATCCACATTCTGCCTCAAGTCCTTTGCTAGAATAAATGTGTTGCTGTTATCAGCAAAGACTTGTTAATTACCACCTTATTTGTTTATTAATTCCCAGACTTTGCCAGCTTGGTGTTAAGTGTAATTATTAAGGCCTCCTCTGTTACTCTCCGTTTGAAGGAGTCCTTTTTTTCAGGATGCCAATAAATCTCTGCCATGTAGGTTGAAAGCATCACCCTATCCAAAACACAAACGGTAAAAAACTGAGCTCCCAGAGCAGCACAAGAAAGAAAATAATTGTACAAAGTCAAATATTTCTTTGTCACATGATTGAAAACGATTTAACTCGTTTTCACACCTTTCTGATTCACCAGTGCATGTTTATAAATGARCCATTATCGAAATCCTGAATGATGTAAAGTATTTTCAGAATAAAGTGATTATTTTCCTGCCTTCTAGGCTCTGTGTGGACTGCGTCACATAATTACTTTTTTTCCTTTATTGTATCTTTTTAAAAGACTGTAAGCCTTTGAAAACTAAACAATCAGCTGTGCATTAGAAATCATTTAGCTGTTTTTGAATTTAACGTAAAGTAGATTATTTCTGCAACAGTTTGATGAAACCAACATTTCCTGTGTGGTGCTTTCAGTAAATATCCAGGGCCCAGAAGTGTTTGAGGTTGATGTTTATCTACGTATGAATCATCTTCTTTCGCCTGTTCCATAGTCAGGAGTCACCACAGCGAGTCATCCTCCTCCATCTCATCCCAACTACCTCCATGTCCTCTCTAACTGCGTCCATGTGTCTTCTGTTTGTCCAAACTACCTCACTTTGTCCTCCCTGACTTCACTTCCCTGTGCTGTACCTCTGATCTCACTCCTAAACTTATCCATCTGTGTCTCTCCCAAGGAGATCCTCGACATCTTCAGCTCTGACACTTCCAGGTCTGTCTCCTGTCTTTTTGTCCATGTCTCTGTCTCCAAACTGTACAACATGGTTACTCTCTAGTAAACCTTTCATTTAATCTTTGCTGCCACCCTTTTGTCACAAATCATTTGACACGTCTTCATCCACTCCATCCTACCTGGGCTTTCTTCTTAACTTCTTTACCACACTCCCTGTTTTCCTGGACAGTTAACCTGACCTTGAGGTCCTGGAC